GTCTCGATGTGCACACAGCTTGCTGACCAGCTCCTTGGCCCTTTGAATGCCAGGCCAAGGCTGACCTTAGGCTGGTTGAATGATCTTCACGGCCGCTTCACTACTTATAAGCCAGCAATCATCTATGCGCCTCCTGAATGGGAATGGGCATGGGCTACCCTTTCTCGGCTTCGGGAAAATGAAGCAGCTTACGAGCTTGTAGAGCAAGAATGCGATGAACCTAAGGACCAATTTGAGCAGCGCCTCTCCTTTTATGGTGTCATTCACATGTTGTTGAAGAGCAAGTGGAGCCAATTGGACAGAAAGAGGTATGCGTGATGAGAACGCCCCCGAATCAGGCGCCATTCAAGCTAACAATTTCAGCGCCATGCGAGTCGTTGAAGATTTGTCCACCGAACTGGGGCTCGAACCTGGTAAAGACAGCCGATGATCTTCACACGTTGCGGATCCAGCCGTAAGTTTTGGCGTGATACTGTTGCCAAACGCATTGCGTTGTCAATTTTGGAGCGGTCAGAAGTCAAGTTGCAGAAATCGACCAGCCCAGCGAGCGACCTATCAGCGGCGCCTTCCTCGGTCTCCTATTCAACCCCAACATCTATGACTATAGTGGGAAGCCTCCAAGGGTGCATACAACGAATGCACAACAGCGCAGTGGTGGCCAGTCTCCACGATAGCTGCATCGGTGATGGAAATAGCACACACGATGACTTGAGAGCCTGAGGGTTCAACCAATTGAAGAACAAACCAGAGAAAGGGATTATACTGGGGCTTTCTAAGGACGTGTCGGGAAAGTTGAAGATATGTCAGGACAAGACCTTGCGATCTTCACTGCTATGCCATAGATCCAATTCTCTACAACATTAATCGCTGTTTTTGTGGCATACACTGTCAATATCAACGTTGACCCTGATGCCGGCCAAGGACCTAAGTCAAAGGTTGGTTGATAGCAGAAGGATCTTCCGCTCTTCCTTGACACTGACGGCACCGCGTCTTCTCCTTGTAGCTGGCCAATGCAACCATTAAAAGGAGAAACTGGCATACGCCTTGGCCACGTGAAAACACATCCCTACTTATTCGAGCTTTCAATTGCACTCCCTTGCTGAAATGGCAGCTAAAAACTCACCGAAGTTCAACGTGGAATTTATTGAATCGTCATCCAAAGGTTCCGAATCTCTAGCCTCCTAAGACCTTTAAAATGCCATCAGTTCCCCCCTTCCTTTCAATCAACATTAGCTAGTATCCCTGAAAGCACGTTGTCGCGATGGTCAAGACTGATGAAGCCAAGATGGTATTCAGAACAAAGATTTCTCCCCATAACAGCTGGGAGCCTGGAGTGACCATTGCTTCTATGGAAGAACTACCCGACAAACCGCTTCTTGGAATGGAGCGACCCTCCTCTCTTCAGTACACCTTCCACCAGTCAGTCTTTTACACCATTTTCTTTCAACACAATGATGGTCGCTTGGAGGAAGCACTCAATACTGGTGCTGAAATGATGGGCTGGTCCACCACCGGAGAATGTCTCTGGAAATTCCCGGAGCTCATCACGCTTCTCCATTCTCGGCGCCCTCTTGCCTCATATCCGCCATACAACCAGCTGGCGTCATTTATCCGGGAATTCACCGTCGAATACAAGTCACACCTCGATTCGCCGGATCTTTTGCTGGTCCGCCAGAACAGCGCCATGATTCGACTATACCACGCGGGCTGTACTTTGCTTATCGACATGTATCGCGTGCAGGAAGGCGACTTCCCTTCTTATGGAGAGCTCATTGATTTCCTTATAGATAGTGGCGATGACAGCTTCAAGGTACTCCTGAAGAGCGATGATGGCCAGTACAGAACCCTGCTGGTAAAGTCAATCGATGATCTTCACTCGACTGCGAGTCCCACGGCCCAAGTGGAGCCAGGAAAAATGCCAGGGAATGACGGTGCTTTCGATCAAATTTGCGACCATTTAGGTTCCTCCACTACCGATTTAACCACCGAAAAGTCATAAGGTCTACCTATTCCATGCGAGCACTTATTTCAGAGTGGCAATGTTGGCCAAAATTGCGCCCCTAATCAAACACGTCTCCTGGATCTGCCACATAGATGCACTGTTGTCTTTTTCAGTGCTACATATATAAATGCGGCCGACTTCACTTATTTCATCACCGACTTCATAAACCAAGCCATTACCTTCCGTCTCTCTTGAGCTTCACGCTACAAATATATCCAATCTACTCTTCTCGTACCTTTCATTCTCTTTAAAGGCCCAAAGATGGCTCCACCCACGACCATTCGCGAAGCGTGCGATATCATTCTGGAACAACTGCAGGACTTCAATGACACAGACAAGATCAACGACCTTCGCTCGGCCATTACGGACTTCATTGAGGCACAGACTACTATGCAGACAGTATCGATTCGTGTCTTGGCCCTAGGCCAAAGAGAAGACCCTCAAATGCAGCCCATCGTTGAGCGGACCAACGAAGAAAAATACAAACAGACTCTGAGATCATTATCAGGTGCCAAGAAAGAACTATTCAAGGCTGTTAACTATCGGGCGCTCCTGGAAACGATGATGAGGTGTCTGGATGATAAGGATCTGGAAAAGTTGCGCTCTACTGCCGCGAAGCAACTAAGGGTTCTTATGATTGAGCACGGTTATGTTTGATATAGACAACCTCGCTCAAACAGGTGTCGGTGGACATGGGCGAACGCACTCGAACATAGAGTGTCTAAGAGTGGCTGATCATAGAAATTGTGCGAAAGAGACAGGGAATTATGTTGCCCCGGATAGCTAAACATGTGGACGGCAGTAATAGTGATCATATTTCTCTTATATTTGAGATGGGACAAATTTGGCAGATAGTATTGAGTGGTTCAACATCTTGACATCTCTTCATATTTCTTGTAATGATGATATGACAGAAGAAACTCGCGGATGCTGTTTGAAGATACTATATTAAAAAAAGGCTCTTCGCTTCCTCTGAATTCTAGACTACCCGTCATCACGATATTAACAGCATCTGCAGCGTGATGACAAGGAACTGATCTACCAGAATAAAGATCTTCACTCATCTCGTATCTTTTCCCCCGACTTCCCTTTCTCTTCTACACCCGCCTACCAAAGTCTCCTCCCACAAGATACCGTGAAACTCCCACTCGTTTACCTCCATCAAGGAACGGGCTACTCCAAAACGAGGTTCGGTTTTCTCTCTGATTTACTTGAAGTGCGACTAATCTTCGAAAAAGCGCATGACGACAACTCCAGAGCCTGATGAACCTCCGGCACAGATCCAGGTAGGATGTGAACTACAACCACTCATTTCCAAGGCTAACTAAGTCCCAGTCGCCCCGAGACTCAGCAATTGCCAGCCCAGGGTTTGAATTTTTCCAACGTGTCCAGGTTGGTAGTTGCTAATGAAACTCGCAGGTGGGCTTCTAGCACCTATTCAGTGAACTCGGAAGACCTGGGATATTGGTGGCTAGGGAACCGTCTCTATGGACGTGGTACATGTTCTCGCTTCTTCAAGCCCTTTAACATTACTCAAACGAAGCAGGCTTCCCGTTTCCCATCGATGATAGGGCAAAAGAAGACCACGATGCCCGACATGCCGTGTTTAAGAAAATTCTGAAGAATCGGAACTTCTGTGCGCCCGTCAGTCTGGAGGGCGCAGATGTGCTTGAACTGTACACTAGAACGGGCAAACTGGCCATGGAAATCGCGGACGAAAATCCGGCTTGTTCAGTGATCGGCGTTGACGAGAGCCAAATGCAGGTAGAATTGGTTCCGCCAAACCTTCGATTCGAGATTTGTGAAGATGACAACAGCTGGACATGGAGACGGCCGTTTCGATTTATCATCATGCGTCAACATGGAGTGTTTGTAAAAGACTTGCCGGGTCTAATACGTCGATGTTCTGAGTAAGTTCGAAGGACCAAGATGGAGTATAGGGTTTAACACGTAATAGGATTCTCGAAGATGGAGGCTGGATAGAATTCCAACTTTTGACCTTGAGTCACCATTCGCAATCTGAACAGCAAGTTCCAACGGGCGAGGAAAGCAAAGTTCGGGATATACATCGTTATCTATCACGTGGACTGGCCAAACTCGGGCTACAGCTGGATATACATGACAAGCTTACTCAGATGCTCGAGGAGAAAAGTTTTCACAATCTCGAACACCGGGAGTTTCCTGTACCTCTTGGACGGTGGCCAAAAGACAAGGAATTGGTAATTGTGTCCGTTGAAGAAAATAGAAAAGACGGCTAATATTATGACCCAGAAAGATCTAGGTAATCTGTGGTTGGAGGTACTTCACGGTGAACTGGAAGCATTAATGCTCCTGCCCTTGAGCGAGGGCCTCAAGTTAGACTACCAGCATATTCAATTAATTCTCAAGGACATTCGGAATGACTTAACAAGATG